TTTAATTTGATTAACAGTTTCTTGATGTTTTGGTTATGGGAATTTCAGTAGGGTATACACAAGTTTTGTAGCCTGAGTATAATGAAGTGTTGGAGACTTTTGGAAATTTTGGCGTTATGCATTATTTCATTTGCCTAATTGGTCATGGTTTATATTTTATGGGCAGATAACATTGGTTCTTCTATGTTGCTCTGTTGCGTTGTGTATATTGCATGGCATTAGATGAACAACACGGGTACCGTATTCTGCCTAATTTTCCCATGATTACTGGACTTTGGTTGTTAAGATATCAAAATAGTTGCTAAGGTTAAAGCATGTTTGAGCTTCTTGACAGAAGGCTTAACATGTCAGTGGCTCTGAACTCATTTCCAGGTAAACAAAGGTGAGTTCTTCTTAGGAGTCTTAACTGAGTGTCAAACACCAGTATTGAGTCTGAACCTGTCCTGTGCATAACATTTCTCTTAAATCCAAAATGTTATATTTCGGAGGGAAACAAAGGAAAAATCTTTTTAGACTCCCATCTGGGATATACATATAAGCTTGGAAGATTATCCTTTGTTCTTAACCTTGATTCTTTGATGTACTCTGTAGGATATAACATGATTTGCGGTACTATCTTGAATAAAGTTTATTAGAACATGGATCTAACATCATTTTATACCTTTACTGGATTTATTGTAACCAGAACCTTTCTGATGACGTCCTCTGCAGGATTTATTGTAACCAGAACCTTTCTGATGACTTCCTCTGCATTTTTTACAGGTTGGGACTAAGGTTGCTGCTGTGTCACGGAAGACGAACACCACTACTCATGAAGTATTAGGAGTGATGACAAAAGGAGACACACAAATTGTATGTATCTTGTTTTTAGTTAATAATTGACCTGCTTCTGTAGGAAAATTTTCTGGTGAATGTTACTTTATGCCCTAATGTGTCATGAAAGTTATTCACCATCATTTGAATTACTCTATGCTATTGATTTCATTATCCCAGTTCAATTATGACATTATTACACAAAAAAGACAACCTGATGAGCTTGTGACACTTATTTCCTTCTTATGATGAGATTTTTTTGATACATTATTCTCGTGGAATAAATAACTTATCTTGCACTTGTTATTCTATTGTTTTTTTTTTCTCTTTTCTAAAGCACATTTCTCTTTTGACTATTTGATTTGTCAAGGTTACTTGTTTTTAAATTTTATGTGTTGATTAAAGTTTTGACAGATACCCCATCTTTTGAGATAAAACCAGTGACGTTATAGTTTTTAGACTGTAAATCATTTAAATATCAGAACATCATATCTATCCCTATCAATGCCCAACTATTTTTCCAGCTTTGTAATGAAGGTACTGTAAATATTTAATCATAAAATCTAGCATGGAAGCATGCAATATAAATTCTTATGCCATGCATCTTGTTTAAATAACCTTTATAGTCTTTTAAAATGCATCGCAGTTTGTCATTTATATTACTAGCGTGATGATCTGAATAGTATCCTCATCAGCAATAACAACCTCTCTTGTAAAAAATACATTCAATTAATTTTCTTCTTAGTGCCTCAAAATGCGTAGACATGCTTTTTCTTTTTCCTCACTGACGGAAGAGCACATAAATTGAAGCTTATGAAATGTCTTATAGTTGTTTTTCCACATTTTGGGCCATTTGATTGACTGCCTTCATCTATTATGTGTATGCAGTGTTTCTTTGATACTCCAGGAATTACATTAAGTAACAGAGGATGCCCTTACAAGGATTTCAAGGTTCGTGTAGAAAGTGCTTGGAGCTCAGTTAATTTATATGATGTGCTCATAGTTATTTTCGACGTCCATAGGCATCTTACAAGGTTTGTGGTCCATTCCATTTGATATTCCGTAAGCTTTATTCTTCATTTTCCTTCAAACAATATTTCCCACCATTTGGCTCCAAAACCTAGCTTAGCAAGCTATTATATGGGCTTGTTTTATAATAGTTCATAAGTGTGATAGCGCTAATGCATGAAATGAACATAAGCATCAGACCTAGATACATATGACAGCCAGGTTCCATTTAGGCAAATTTTCACCCCCCCTCTCTCTCACATAAGCATCAGACCTAGATACACATGGCAGCTGGGCAAATTTTCACCTCTCTCTCTCTCTCTCTTTTCCAATATTATTTGGTCCCTGATCACCTGGTTGTTTTCATTTCCATCTATGTAGACCTGATGCAAGGGTTATAGGATTAATCAAGCGTATGGGAGCATTAGCACACCCAATACAAAAGAGAGTTTTATGTATGAATAAGATTGATTTGGTTGAGAAGAAGAAAGATTTATTAACGGTTGCCGAGCAATTCAAAGATCTTCCTGGGTATGAAAGGTAAGGTTTCCTTGTAGAAAATGAGAGATGGTGTTTGTTGTTTTCTTGGAACCCATGATTCTTAAGAGTACATCTGACCATCTGTTTATTGCTTTAATCTTATAGGCATTTCATGATTTCGGGTCTAAAGGGATCTGGAGTGAAAGATCTTACTCAATACTTGATGGATCAGGCATGTGTACTTTTTAGTAATGCCTTCATTGCGATAATATCCTATGGAACGTCAAAGGGAATTATATTACAATAGCCTTTTTAAAATGTATTGTTTGCTAAATGTCATATTCTACAATGCTGCTCTTTCTCTCACTTAATATCTGGTCAGAAATTTGAAAGACTATTATTAGTCTGAGTTTTTTTTTCCTTTTTTAAATAGTTTTTAACATATAATTTTATATTTATGAGAGTGAGCCTTGGGTACAAGGATAAAGTTGTTCTTGTTCCATTTAACCCATCCTGGACATCGTAATGATGGTGGCCTCATGCTTTGGGCTCTCTTTTTTTTATAGATTAATTGTTTTTATTAATAAGTTGGTCCTTCTAATCAATGTTAGAAGCAATTATGTCTTTTGGGAACCCAATAAGGTTTGCTTATTGAAATTATAATTGGATTGCTAATCTTTGTGCACCTCCTTCTGTTTTCAAGTTTTGGTTTGAAAAAGTATTTTAAAATTTATCTTGATGGAGTAAAGCACCTAAACTAACTTATTTTCATGAATCTGCTTATCTTTCTAGCTAATGTTATGCTGTGTACTAGATCCCACATCTCAGTTCTTCTGTGGGTTTTTATGTTTAGGCTGTCAAAAGATGTTGGGAGGAAGATCCATTCATCATGACTAAGGAAGTAATGAAGAATATATCATTAGAAGTTGTCCGAGAAAGGTTGTTAGACCATGTCCATCAGGTAGAGATTCAGCGACTTTTTTATGTACTTTGAGGCTATCATTTCTGTGTGCTCAATGATTCTCTCCACGATCTCAAAATAAGCAATTTGAGAATCTTAAATAATGACAATCTCTGCTTATTCTAGGAAATCCCATACGGTATTGAACATCGGTTGATGGACTGGAAGGAGTTGCGAGATGGCTCTCTTCGGATTGAACAGCATCTTATCACTCCCAAATTAAGTCAACGCAAGATTCTTGTAGGAAAGAAGGGCTGTAAAATAGGGTAAATACTGAAGTCCTGGTTTCATCATTTGTTTTGCTCCTGTAACTTTCACATCATTTGACTATTTGTTCAAAATTTTAACAAAAAGAAGACATTTGTTTTAGGTTATTTTTAATGGGAACTTATTGATGTACTTCACCCTTTGCTTAAGAGTTGTATCCTAGCTACTTGGGCACTTTAAGTAATTAGAACATATTGGAATCATTATTTTACTTCTTACACAAATTGGTCTGAAATACATTCTTTTGAAACAGGAGAATTGGCATGGAAGCTAATGAGGAGCTAAGGTCCATCTTCAAGAGGGATGTCCACCTCATTCTCCAGGTTAGACTTAAATGACGCATTAGCAAGTTGAGTTGAAAGCCAAGAAGGGCACCTTTTCAGGCCATACTGTCTTGAAAACGAAGGTGGTGACGAGCTATGATCCATCACGAGATGGAAGTGCACCTTATTTGTTAGGTTGGACTTGCAACATGTTTAGTGAATAGAGAGATGAATGTCAAAAATTGCAACATTTCATCCACACTATTTTGAAATGTACATAAGGAAGCTTATCAGGCCTATCTGTGCTCTATTCTCCTCGACTCATCAAATTTATGAAGGCCATCCATCTAGTGCTGAGCTTTCAATGGCCGAAATTTATCAGCTTTAGTTTGGGGATTGAAGCAGGTGACAAATAATTCGAAGACCCCAACTTGGCAGGCAAACACTAATGTCCCGAAATCTCTGAGAATATGCACTGTCTTGATATGGAATTCTTTTCTCTTTATACTAATCTTTTGTTTTCCCCCTAAAGATGTGCTTGTGTAGCAACATATGAACGCTTAAGCAAGGTTGTTTCATTTGATTTTTATTTGAATCTATACGTCCTTTAGTAGACTGTTAAAAGAACCCATATCTCTTGTTGTTCAGAAGTCATTTATGAATGTGACTTTGCTTGTGTCACTGTAAATTCCACCTGTGTAAATATGCGAATTGATTCAAATGTTTTACGCCCCTGCTAAGTATCGAAATGGATTCTCTGTCTTGGCATTGCTGCACTTTTTAATTTGAGCCGTGTAATACAAATTCAAGGTTTCTCTATTGTATGATTTGGGGTCTAAACTCAGAGATTTAAGATAACCATTAGAATTTGTACTAAAGGCTCGGATTAAAAGTCTAGCAAGGCAAATACAATGGGGAAAGGAAAATTTAAACTTAGAACCTCTTCCAAAACTTGGCAGGCAAACGCTATACTAACAAATGTTTTTTAACTGCAACATTAAGATGTGTAGTAGGGCTGACTGGCAGTTTTGTTATCAACAAATCGTGCGATTTATCCTTAGAAAACTTATTGGGGTGAGCTTACTGTCCTAGCCAACTGATTTAACCTATATTTCCTTCAGTATTGTAGTTTATTCCAGGGAATATTATTATATTAGTCATGCATGCGAACTATCTCCTCATGTGACACACCAGAGAGAATAGATTGACAAAAGACATCACATATCACTTAAAAGTTCTGACAAGTAGCTCCTGACTAAACTGGACTAAACAACTATTCCCCTATCATCACAACCACTGCTTCTACTGCTAAACACCAACATCACATGCCAAATCGAACTCTCCTAACCAGTGAAAGGCTGAAATGGAATTGTAGTCAACTGATCAAGAAGCCCTGTGACTGGTGTGGCAAGTTGGGGCTCATAAGCAAAACCATGCAAATCACCATCTATCCCAGCATGAACATAAGGGCATGGAGGGATCCATTGCCACCTTTTCCTGCACATATCAAACAGCAAAGCCTTGTCAGAACCTGGGATCATTATGGTAAGGAACTCTCCATGGCCAACACAATGAAACCCATTTCCATTTTCCAGCTCTGCAAATTGAACATAAAGCTGCTGTGGCATTCTTTCCATCTCAATCCATGTTGTTCCACAAGCCTGCAAGCCCCAAAGCCTCAGGCTGTTTGGCACCTTGAGCGTACTTTTTTCAGCTGCAGCAACCAGCAGCAGCTTACCCCTGCTCTCCATCAAGCTTGGAGACCTTAGATGCCTTTTCATGGGAGCCTTAATCTCCCACCAGTTATTTGCTGCCACATCATAAGTCAACACACTGAAAGGGCTATAGTTCATGCAGTAGAATTTTCCCTGAACATGAACCATTTGACCTGATTCAAAATTGCAGACCTTTGGTAGAGAAGAATTGGTGCCCCATAATGAAAAGAACCCACCTCCATCAATATGAAAGCTCTCTGCAGTCAAGTTTTTCACAGCATATGGAGAAATCAAGTCATCTCCAGCAACAGTGACATCAATGGATGAAGGGCTAACACTTAAGCCTATGGAAGGGAAGAGCCTTGATCTTAGAGTTGGAGGCAATTGATTCAGAGAACCAACAATTGGGTTGCACAGAATTAGAGTCTTCGGACCAGCCTCATCAGAAACCCAACATATTAAACCACCTGACGAAGAAGCAGGGGAGAACCCAGAGGGAAGCAGAGCAAAGGAAAGGCGGTACCATGCAAGTTCATAAGGATCAAAAAGATACCCTTCACAATCAGTACCAGCCCTGTTGTTGTCACCATGGCTTCCTCCAATATTGTTGTTCCTGTATATGTAGCTGCTGTTGAGGCGTTTGTGCTTGAAGAAGAGGAACCAAGGGCGGCGCGGAGATACTCGGAGGTACAATTCAAGAAAGGTGTTGGAGAACAACAGAGCATACCATCTCTTGCAGACGCATCGAGCTCGAAAAAAGGCCGGTGGTGGAAGAAAGGCGATGACACGGTTCAGCAGCCGGTGTGGGAGCTTACTCCATATCCTACTGTCCATCCATGGACTAGGACTGGATGTGTTGCTATTTTCAGCAATGCCACCATGTCCGCTACTAGTAGTAGTGAAGGTGTAGGAGAAGGGAAAGGTGATAGAAGGATGAAAAGCTTCCATCTTTTTGTGTATGATGACAAGGGGCTTGCAAGTAAATTTGGCCTAGATTGTAGTACTTATTCAGTGGAGTTGAAACGAAGAAATGGAGGGAGTTGAAGCGTGAGCTAATTGTGGAAATAAAGGCTTACATGCATGCTTGCTTTTTCAAATGTAGAAAATTGGAAATTCGTTTTTGGTTCACCAAGAGTTTAGGATGATGTGAACATAAAGATGGAAAATCTCAGGTGGGTTTTTATTTTAAGAAGGGATCGATTTCTATTGGGAGAACAAGAAAGGTTTGGGCTGATAAAAGTCACCTGATGAATTGGATGGTTTGTTGTTAACTTTCATGGGATTGGAGAGAAGGGGTTGAAGGATAGGAGAAAGTGCTAAAAGGTCACTACATATATAGAAGAAAAAGAGATATCACTGTTGCAAAAGTAAAGAGGAAATCTATAACACTCAAAATAACTAATGGGGTGGACAAGTTTATTATGTGTGTATATATACGAAAGATGACTTGGTCTCTCCTCTCTTGTTCTGATATTTCTCTCTCTCTTTGTTGCATATTGATTTCTTTTGTATTTCTTTCCCTATGAGAGAAATGAGGGCAGTGATTCTGATGGATGCATCAGTCAATTTGGTGTTGTTCTGTCAAGGCCGAGGTTGCCAAGATAAGTGCAACTTTAAGATGAGAGAGAGAGAGAGAGAGAGAGAGAGAGAGAGGTCTTTGCATTAATATCGATCATTGTTCACACTGTACATGTACGAACTCCTCAACGTGAATGCACCAATTCAACTTTCCACGAGTTGAAGCCTCATGAAGGGATCGGACAAGCATGCACCATGAATAATTTATATGTGGCAGTAAGCAGATGGAAAATCATTAAAGAAGAAATATATTCTATTTGGTGTTTGTTTCCTGGCAGTCTAGTATCATTGAAGGGAAAGAAGGAGTTTAGAGACTTTGGACTTTGGATTAGGGAAGACTAAGAGATGATATTTAAGATCACTAAAAGTATTTTATTAGGTAACTTAATATAAACTTAATAAGATGAGATTTATCAATTTTGGATCTTAGAGTCCAAAATCTCATCTTATAGTTTTCAAGGCATAGACCTCGGAACTAACACCGTGAACTACAATCCCATCTAGATCTTGCCATGTTTAATAACCCAAAATCTAATTTACTTCTTTCTTCTCAACGTTACATGGAATCTCAAGTTCAAATTATTCGTCAAAACATCCAACGTAAACAATTATTGAAATATAACCCTAACTTTTAAGGAAACCTAATCGAGTAATTTTATTAACACTATTTGAATAAGTTGGTATTATTACTACTGTTTGACTTAGTGCAAGAGGCATCATGCAACCCTAATGCAGGTGGTGTATGACACAAAGACTTTGTCAGTTCATATGTCCAATCCAATCTCATTGATGGGTTTTTGCAGTTGTACATGGCGTGAACAACGAAAAAACTTTATTTTGAAGACCCCTGAGGCTTGAAGTTTCAGACTTGATGAGATCTTCAAATTATGTTATAATTACAATTAT